GCCTCCCAGTTCAAGCGATTCTCTAGCCTCAGCCCCTCTTAACGTAGCTGGGGAATTACCAAGTGCCTACCACCGACGCCTGGCTAATTTTTTGTATTTTTAGTAAAAGAGATCTGCGGGTTTTCACCTAATGTTGGCCAGTGCTGATCTCCGAACTGCCTGAACTCAAGTGATCCCACCCTGCCTCAGCTTCACAAAGTGCTGGGATTGACAGTTGTGAGTCACCACCCACGCGTAGGGCCTAAGAACAGTGCAACTTGCCCGAAGTGTGTGCACAGATTGTTGGGCGGTTTTGTTATGCATGGCCTTTATGTGTGTGTGTGGTCGAAGGAGAAAGGTAACGAAAGAAAGTGCTACGGACAGAGGATTCAGCCTCCGATGCTTGAAAGCACCCTACCCACTACTGGCCTGGGGTTTGTCAGGGAGGAGAGGAGCAAACTCCATTTAAGTAATGGGCCAGCGTGGCTTCACTTCAGATCTCAGGCTAACTTCTGGTGGGAGTTGGAGTTGCTACAATCTCGCGTGCTAGCTGGTTGGGGCTTGCTGTGTAAAACTTGCAAGAGGAGCCTTTTTTGGTGCACTTTCTAGATCCACACCCTAAATACCTGCGTGTGCGAGTCCCCCATGGGATCTTGTTGCCGTGCTGGCTGCGGGATACATAAGTACACGGGAAAAGCACACCCTGCAGGAAAAAGAAGGGGAAGAGAATGGATAAGCCTCAGGCCCTGAAGAGTACCTGCAGCACCAACGTTTTCCCCATGGGCATCATCGTTGGCTCCCAGTTGGCTCTTTTGAAGAAACTAGCGAAGAGAGCGCGGAACACTCGAGAAGCACACAAAATATGAGAGAGAGGATAGGATGCGCAGATCCCTGAGCCTAATATTCACTGTTACTCGGTCGCAAAGAAGTTCCTTGCCCATTGCTCCCTCTGGGCCAGGCTTCTCCCAGGTGGTGGGTGTTCTTCATCGCCACCCTCTGATGGTCCAAAATCCCCAGGAGCGTCCCAGGCCTGTTTGGAGAAAGTTATTAATAGCTCCACCACCAGAGTTTCCGGTTTTTGGACCGCCCATCTAGGGTCGGGATGGGGTGACAAGCCACTGGCTCCAGCACCCCTTAGCTGGAAAGAAGACCCACCTAATAAAAATATCTGGGG